TTCTGTAGTCTTCTGAGTAGACAGTGTAGTGTACTGGAATCTATTTTCTATACCAAGCATCCTTATCTCTTTCTTTTGCTAGTAATGTTCTGTTATTCCTTCATGGAACTACTTTCCATATCATGTGTCATTTTGGTGTGATTACCAGTCAAACTGTCTCAGGTACCAATAAACCAGTTGAGGCAAACCAGTGGAATTCTTTCTCCCAGGAAGCTAAATATACAATATGACCAGTGATGCTGTAATCACATTGCATGATACACTTCATGTCTTCATGTCCATTGATATTCCTGGCTTATCTCCAGGATGAAATAAGAGTAGATATTTCAGGGAAGACAGATGAACTGTTAATCACCTTAATTATAAAAGTAATTTTTTTACATATAATGCTTAAAATTTTGCACACAGGACCATAGTTTAGTCATACACATTGAAAAAGTGACGGTAATTGCAAGGTAGTTTGTTAGAAGGGAGAAGTCTGGAAAACAAATGTATGAATTTTTTTATATCTTCCCCTGACATGTATTTATGGAAAAAGTGTGGATGTTTATAACACTCACTCTGGAAAAGAAGACAACCAAGGTTGACTTTTGAGGTTTTAAATTTAATGCCCTAAATGGGTATATTTAGATTTATACTACATAAAAGATACTGAAAGTATTTTTATAGTGCATTGAGAATTTATAAAATAGGAAAACAGTGATTTGGGTAATAGTTTGTATATTTTTTGTACTGTACATTAAATATTTTGGTGGCCTCTATATACATAGATAGTTTAACCGTAAGTAGCACCATTTTTAAATGAAAGGACTGTGAATATCTTTTATAAATTTGTGAGGGCTAATACATTATATGGATCTGGTATATAGTAGATATTCAGCATATGTTTATTGACTTTATTTAGCAAACATGTAGGTAGCAGTTAATATGTTATATCTTTTTTTTTTTTAAAGATTTTATTGGGGAGTTGGGGGAGGGAACAGCGTTGGGGAATCGGGGAAGGGGAACAGACAAGTTGCTGTCCTTTTGTTCTTCAGTCTAGTTGTGGAGGACGTCACTTTACTGGCCCATGTTGGTATTGTGATCATTGTGCTCTTCCCTGCTGAGGCAGATCGGTCGCCTGCTATTGGACGGCCACTCACGGCAGTGAGCTGCCGGCTGCTCATGCTGGCTGCCGGCCACTCAGGGTAGCTTACGGCAGCCCACTACAGCCTACACCGTTGCCGGAGACCCACACCATCTCCAGGTCGAGCTGTTGTTCACCATCTTAGCTGTAGAGGGCGCAGTGTCACTGGCCTATGTGGGATCCGAACCAGTGGCCCTGTTGCTCAGAGCTCGTGCTCCCAAGACAACTCTTAACCAATAAGCCACGCAGCCGGCCCAATATGTTACATCTTTATATCAACACTGATTTCTTTCCATTTCCAGATGAGGAGACTGAGGTAATGGACCAATTAAATAACTCGTCATAGGTCCCGTAGCTGGAGTTGTACCCATTTGGCTGACAAGTCAATTTTTAAGTTACCCTACCAGGTTTTCTCTCTGGAATGAAATGGTGAACATACATTAAACAATTATTTAATATCTGTATCTGATGCTAACAAAAATAATTGTGTTTAATAATTATGTATTTAATACCTACTACATGCTAATCGCTGTACTATGTACTGAGATTGTAGAGTGAACAAAATAGGCAAAGTATCTGACATTATAGAGCTGTGTTCTAGTGAAAATTTGGTAAACCTATTGGTATTTAAAACCTCTATTTTTTCAAGTTTTTTAAGTGCTGGGATATTTGTTTTGTCTTTGTGCTCCCGACTTCCAGCTTAGTTTATGGTAAATATTAAAGAATCCATGAATAAAAGAAGAAAAAAAGAATTAAATTACACCCTGAAATGTTTCTTCATTTTTGTTTTTTATTTGAAACTGTTTCCTAAAGAATAAAATACATTCATACAGAGAACATTTCATTGTGTAGAAAGTTTGCAAAACATAATTCTCACTATGGTTTCAACTTTTAAAGAAAAAGAAACATGTTATTTAGGAATAAGAAATAGAACCATTATTTAAAAGGACAGAAAATATGGTGTAACATTCTGGAGCATTTGTATATAAAGTGTTCTATATGATGAACAGTGGGCTAAGTAAAATGTTCAGATTAATATATAAATGAAACCCATTTTATTATCTTCTTTTTAACTGAGTTGTATCCCAGTTATAGAGCACAGAAATTAGAAAAATTTAAGTTTACCAAACCTTGCATATGGGGGTACACAAATGGTATGTATCTTTTCAAATTGCACGTAAACTTGGAACTTCAGAAAAAAATGCGTGACAATAACTTATTAAAATAAGAATACTGAATAATTTCTAGTTTATTGGTTTGTACTCAGTATTTAATAATTAGATATGTAGTCCTTGACCTAATAGGAATCAAAATAGAGGTGGTTCTACTTCAAGAATTTGTAATAATCCCTTCACTTTAACACATGAATGTGTTCAATATTGGCGAAAGAACACGTTGCTACCAAAACTGAAATAAGATCCTTGAAACAGAAAGGATGTTGCCACGGAAAAATGAAGTAACACTTGGTGCAGCTGTGATGCATTAATGAATAGGATATTTTTTTAAAAGATCATTTGTGTTTGGTGTGGCTCAGAGGGTCCCAACCAGATGGTTTCCATGAACATGATCTGACCCCCGGTTTGAGGACTTCTTACTGGCAGATTACTTCATTTTCTTTCCCTTGGATTGTCAGATCCTTACATTAATGCAGAATTTACTGCTGCAGATTTCTGTTCACTAATATAAATCATTCAACATTTTACATTAAAACCACAATTTTAGACATACAGTTTAACAGTTATTTTAAAAGTGTAAAAAGATTTATGTGATAGCATTAGTATATATAATAGATGTAACATAAGTTTGAACAATTTGGATTATGTATATGTTTTGGTTCTTATCATTAAAGAAATCCCCACAACATATATCATTTTTAGAAAATTTATTTTTTAGAGGAGTTATGCATCTCATGCCAGTATACTGTTGTTTCTTTATGTATTGCTCAGGTTGTTTAAATTTGATGAAACAATTTATTTCTAAATTAGTGGGATTTTGGAATATACAATAAAATCTTGGATTGCTAGTAACATGGTTTGCGAGTGTTCTGCAAGATGAGCAAACATTTCTAATACATTTCTAAGTGGTAAATGAACGATGTCTTGCAATACTAGTAGTTTGTTTCCAGAACGAATTATGCTCGCAAACCAAGGTATTACTGTATTTGTATATGGTGGCATATTAAACTGATTAACTCACGTTATTGAAAGCATTTTTCAAAACAGCATTGATACCTATGTAAAGTGTTAAATACTGACTCTTCATAATTTGACCTATTTACCACAGTTTATATAGGAGAATATGCTCTCGGCATACCATTTTTATTTGTGCAATTGAACACTAATAATGACTTATATTAAATACTTAAAAACTTGAGTGTAATATGGCTGAGACACTATACACTTGTATTTCAGAATAAAAAATATGATGTGATCTTAAATCAATTAACTACTTAACATACGAGTATACATACTTAAATTATCTATCTAAGCTGGAAGATAAAGTTCTATAATAGACTTAAAAAATGAGCTCATACTCCTTGAGCCACTGTATTTATTTTTGCAAAATTTTACTTATATTTTTCTTCACTGATTCATGAGTTTGTCCATGCACAGAAATGTTGAATCAAAGATGAGTAAGCTTGCTTATTTATAAGGCTGGCAAATTATTTATTGTATCAAGAAATTCCAGACCTGTTACATATCGTTATGCTTTTACTAAGGAATATATTAGCCCCAAGAGAAGTGATATTACTGTATTCTTAGTTATCTTTTATAAAATATACTATCTTTGCTAATATAATTTGCTATAATATCCAAGTATTTATCAAGCAAACATTTTTTTATTACAAATTCACTTAATACCTTTGTATGCCAAATATTTTGTAGTGAATTAACAGGTCATATTTTTTTATTATTTTTTAAATAATTCAAGTATGCTAGTCTGGGCAATTCACTAATGTGGTACAGACTATTACTTTGTAAGAACCAACTAACACTAATAGACTTTAACCTACATTGCTTTTGAATTGAGAATTCATGATTAATTAAAATTTTGATTTGGGCTTGCTTCGTCCTGTTTTACCTCTCTAAGGGCCTAGCAACCTACATACTATGCGGGGGATAGGGAAGCATAAAAACCTCTCATTAGGTCACAGTTTAGGTAATAATTTAAAGTATGATAAAAGCAAGGAATAACGCTCTGATTTTTGTCTCCTGAATTTTCTTCATTACCATGTAGCTGTTTATAACAAATGTGATATATAGCACACTAACTCAAGTATAATGTATACACTTGAGTCTTGGAATACATGTATGTAAAAAGAGAAATTATGATAAAAACATGTTCTGTGTTAATGTTTGCCTAGAGATATAATCTGAACATTTTAAACATTTTTTTCCCCTGTATTTTAGTCTGTAAAGTAAAAATGGATAGGCCAAAAACACATGGAAATAGCAGTTTGTGGGTTTTTGTTTGTTTGTTTTTTAAAGTAAGAACAATAAAATGCTAGTCAGTTCTAAGGCCTTAGCTGGTGTTAACAAAATCTAATGAACTGGAAAAGGAGGAGGATTTTCTCACCTTTTATTTGCCAGCACATTTTCTAACTCAATTATGTTTCTTGGAAAGAACTGTAGGAAGGCAAATATGTTTTCAACTCATGTCATTGTTCCCTTTTGATAAATTTATAGCAAAACCCAAAACCTTTTCAAGTGTTTGTTGCCTTCTTTAGTAAAAATAACTCATAAAGACACAAGTATGGGACATTTTTTTTTATTCTCTTGCCTAATTATTCTGGTAAAGTTATTAGTGTTTGAGGGTATGTTCACTCTCAAATGTAGTCTAATCCAAATGTTTTAATTCTGTGTTTCTTTTCCAGCTTGAAGTACAGTCTTGTTGTATGTTCATTCCAAATGATAGCCTGCCTTCCCCGAGTACAATTGTATCTGGTGACATTCCTGGAACTGTCAGAAGTTGGTACCATGGACACACCAGCATGCCAGGAACACTCGTCCTCTGCTTGCCTCAAATAAAGATTGTCAGTGCTGGCCACAAGTATATGGAGCCTCTGCAGGAGATCCCGTTTGTCATTCCCCGACCCATCCTTGAAGAAGGTACTTTCAGAGAAATCCTTTTTATGGTTATTATATTGATATATTTAATTTTGTTGTTTTTCTAATATCCTACTGTGTATGTAAATCAGTCTTCTCATTGAAAGATTTCCATGAAGATGAACTAAGTTATCTACAAAGCAATCTAAACAGAAAGATCTACAGAGTAAATGAACATGAACTAATTGATGCTGCTTATTGACATCCACACCTTTTAGTCATATTCATATATATATGTATATAAATGTAAGGTATCTACCTAAGATATGCAATATAATATCATTAAAATTGTAAACATAGGTAAAATCAACTTGAGAAGAAAGTTGGTTTCAGATGTTACCATTAGGCTGAATTAAGAATGATAAGTAGGTTGATCTTAATTTATCCACTTTATAAATGGCTATAAATAACATAATCAAATGAATATATTTATGTCAAGCATAATATATGTCTAGATTTCTCATTTATTTAAGTAAAATAGATAATGTGCGATAAGTGACTCTTTCTGAAATACATACTTGATTTCTGATATTTCAGTGTTTCAGTTGCAAATTCATACCCTTTTGAACTTTGACATATTCATCTCAAACAATATGTGAACCTTGAAAAGTTTTAAGTTGCAAAGTAAATAATGTGAAACTATATTTTAATAACAAGGTTCAAATTTTTGACAGTGCTGAACAGGTCAACACCTTGTTCATATTATTAGGATGTATGAATCCTGATATCATTCAGATTCTACACATACTGTTATTGAAAAGCAGATATAGTCTGTGTGGTTTTTGACTGTGACTTGATATTGATTTCTTTCTCCTTTTCTCTGTATTGAAATTTCCACTGAAATCTAGTTTTCTTAGAATTGTCAGAAGTAACCATGACTTTAATGCCCGAAATTAATGTTGATAATGTTTAAGATTAATAATATGAATGCCATTATCATAAAATCATAGAATTCTAAGGGTGAGAAGGAACGTCTTTAGAGTTTTTCTTGTGTGATGTTTGTCTCCATGCAAGGATCAATTCTCTAGCATATTGGACATATCCATTCTTTGCTATTTGCTTTTGGTTATAGTGAATCCTTTCTTATCACAACACCTATTGTATATCATATTAAGGATATGGTAGCCTCATAAAGTGTGCTGGGGCATGCTCCCTCAACTCTGGAGTAATTTTTGTAGGATTAAAATGACTTGTCCCTTGATTTTTTTTTGTTGAAACTCACTAATATTTGTAAAACAACTCTTTAAGATATAATTTGCCTATCTTAAAATTCTTCCTATTAAGTATACAATTTGATGATTTTTAGTATATTTAGTATTGTGCAACTGTCACCACTATCAAATTTTAGAACTGTTTCATCACCCCAAAAAAGAATTGGTATACTATTAGCAGTTACTTTTCTTTCTTCCTTCTCCCAGCCCCAGGGCAATCACTAATATTTCTGTCTGTATGAATTTGTTATTCTGTACATTTCATATGAATGGGAACACACCATATGTGGTCTTTTGTGACTGATTTGTTTCACTTACCATAATATTTTCAAGGTTGATTCATGTTATAGCATGTATCAGTCTTCCATCTTATGGCTGAATTATAATCCATTTTTATGGAAATGCCACATTTTCTTTATGAATACATCAGTTGATGTGCATTTAGGTTGTTTCCACTTTTTGGCTATTTTCATTAATTCTGCTATGATCATTTTGTACATGCTTTTGTGTGGACATGTTTTACTTTCCACATGGTTACTAAATCTGCACCATTTTACAATCCCACATCAATTTATGAAAGTTCTAATTTATCTACTTCTATGTCAGGACTTGATATTGACTTTCTTTTTTATTTGAGCCATTCGATTGGGTGTTAAGTGGTATCTCATTGCCATTTTGATTTGCATTTCCCTAATGACCAGTGATGTTGAGTATCTTTTAATGTGCTTCTTGGCCATTTGTAGATCTTTTATTTGTTCGTATTCTATTCAAATCCTTTGCCCAACTTTTAGTTACCTAAAACCATAAATTAGTTTTCCTATCTTAACACTTTATTAAATTTTAAATTTTACATATGATATTCTTTTCATTTTAGTTGTTTTTTAAATCACCTTAATTTTTATTCATGATTTTCAAGGCTTCCTTATATTTCTTCTTACAGGAATCATTTATGTTATATTACTGTCTAATTCCTACTGACTCTTGCCTACTGTGCCTAGTATTTCTTGTGCATTTTTTCAAGACGAGCCTGAAGTTTCTTCTGTGCATGTTTGAATTTCCTCCTGACACATTGAGAACATTACCTGTTCAGGACCACTTGAAACTAAATTTTTTGTTAGAGGTTTTTATGTCACACAAATAATAAAAATTCAAGCCACAACTTTTTATGAGGATTGGCTTGTAGTTATGAGTATTTTTCTTCCTGTGTTCAAGGGTCACTTTTCTGGTCGAGTTTGTGATAGGGTCATGTAGAGAGGGCAAGATGTAGACACTTATTTCTAATTTAACCTAACATTAATATTGTAGCCACTTGCATGTGAGTCTTTTGTCTTGTTGGATTCTCCACTTAGAATGGGCCTAAGGCTTTATCTTTAATCAGCCTTAGTTGTGAACAAGGATGTTCAGTTTCACCAGTTTTGAAATGCCTAAAACCATTTGTTTCGTTTACCCCTGAGTTTCTGGCTTGCCTCAGTCCCTGGCATTAATAACCCTTACTTTGTGGGAAATTTATTAATGAATTTAAGAAAATACTGTCTGTATGTTGTGTGTGTGTAAACCAATCTATATAAATTTTATTCATAGTATGTGTTATATATAAGCATTTTATAAATATATTTATCATGTTTATTTCTTTTTAGCATATGGGTCATTCAGGGTACTAAATCTACCATATTGCTGGAAATAATCCCTCAGTGATTGAAAGATGTTGTGACAATATTACACCCCTTTTTTCCTAATGGGTTTTATGAAAGGACTGATATATACTGCCCCACTCTTCTTTATCTCTTCAAAACTCATTTAAAAATCCCTCTTATTCCTACAATACTCTTGCCAACTTCTACTGTTTGTCCTTTTTCTATGATAAAATATCTTATTTTCATCTTATGTTTCAAATACATTATGAATGTCTTAAGAACTACAGAAGTCTCCATCTATAAAGCATAAGATGTTATTATATTCTCTGATTTATTTTTCCCTGGAACTGAGTTGGACAGCATTGTAGTTTATTTTGAGCTTAAAAAAAAATATATCACATACCAATTGGAGAGGCTAGGATCAAATAGAAACATCTAAAGTCTATTTGTCATACTCCCTAGGAGAATATAGAGTGACTGTATAATCAACATTGAAACCTAAAGTAGAAATAATTTTTTAACCGGATAGTTATTCTCATTGGGCAAACCTACCTTGAGGAAAGGAGATTATTTCAAGATAATTAAATCTTCTTTAAGTATTAAAAAACTGTAGATATTAACTTTTTATAAAGTACCATAAATTTAACTTTTTTCTTCATTTTAAAGGATGCTTATAAAAATGTTTGGGTATAAAGGTTTGATGCTTATGTGTAATGAGCAATTTACTGTTTACCCTTACATTTGTATATAGATGGAGAAAGAATCTGGAGGTCTACTTACTCATTTTATCAGTTTTCACCCAGTCCTTCTGGTTTCAGTGTCACTCTGCATTCTCTTTTTCAAACATACTGAGTATTAGAACCTATTGAGAATAGATGTCATAATCAGTTTGATCCTTTATAGCTTACCCCTCTGGGTCTCAATCACTTGCCATTTATCTATTATTTCTTCATCTTCAAACAGTTTGTGATAATTCTTATCTCCTATCATGTCCTCCCCTGTTCTTATAATCCTTTTTGGTTTATAATTTTTGTCTCTCACAGTTGTTTTGCTGGTTTCAGAATGTAGATAAATATTTTCAGTCACTCATGTTCAAATAGATATAGATTGTGTCTAAAACTATACCACCTTCCCATTACACTCCTTTCTAGTCTGCTTCCCTGATACTGTTTTTTTTTTTTTTTCTGTTCAGCACATTTTTTGTTCAGTAAAGAATGAAGGATGGATTTGGGTGGTGGTGTAGAGGAAGGTGTAGAGGGAAACTGGAGGGGAGGAGGTTAGTTAGATATTGCAGCCAGGTATTATAGTTGTCTAAAAATATGACTGTCAGAACCAGGATGATGGTGATGGGAATAGTGAGAATGGGAAGAACAGAGAAATAGTTAAGAAATTAACAAAAAACTATCAAAACTTTGTGACTGGATTAGTTATGGATAGTAAAGGAGAAGTAAATGTGTAGAATAGCTCCATGGTTCCTAACTTGGATTTTTGTGTAGATGTTTATGTAGTTAGTATTTTGATTATAAATAAAGGTTTAGGTTTTTGTGTGGAAAGTGAGAAAGATGAATTTAGATTGGGACATAACTGTGAACTGCTTGTGAGACATCAGGTGAATACATCTAATGAGCTGTTTCATATATGGGACCAGACAGAGCTCAAAAGAGGGATCTTTGTTAGAAATACCAATGATAGCAGGGAAAACCATGAAAAATGATGTGATCACTGAAAATCGCTTATAAGTGACAAATAAGTAGAATTCAAATATAAAAGGGCAGTGCTAATTTTTATTGGATGAAAAGGAAAGGAATAATCTATGATGGAAATTGCAAATAAAAGGTAGGGTAAAAAGGAAAACCAAGAGGAAGTACTATACTGGAAGACAAATGATTGGGTCATTTTACTTTGTAGCAGATATACCCAATAAGATAAAGATGTAAAGGAATTTTTACAATTTTAGGTGGTTGGTTCTCTTATTACAGTACTTTCAGAAGAACAGTGTTAAGGCAAGTCAGATAATGGTGGCTTAAGCACTCAACAGAAAATGAAGAATTGATACAACACATATACAGTGTTTTATTAAAATTTATTTGAGGCAAGAAAGCATTAAGGAAGAGAGCTCATGAAGATTTCCTACTAAAGGCAGAAGTGGCAGTATACA